GATCAAATCATTGCAGAATGATTAGGACAGTAAGATATTGGTGGAAGTTCTGGAAATGACTGGCTTGTTATGAGAAAGTCCCATTTTAATAACTGTTCAGACATATGGTCTTGAGTCCTGGGGCCTCAGTACAATTGGCTGGTCTAGGTCCCCCATGTATGGTCTTTCTCTTGAATGATGCCCTTAAACAGCCAGCATGCTTATCATGAGACCAACATACAGGCAGTTGTACACTGTAACCAGTATAATCAAATTCAGTCACATGGACGGGTGTAATCTGGGTACATGTGAGTATCATTAGTAAATACTGAGACAGATTCTCCAGCCCACACAGCTGGGTGTCTAAAGGTAGATATGGAAAGCAGTCCAATAGGTTTCTCCATGGACCCACTTACTGGCAGCTCAACAGAGCAGGGCCACAAACACTGTGGCTGGAGCTTAGTCCTTCCTTGTGGCTGAACCACCTGATCAGCCTGTTGCATCAGATTCCTCAATTGTTCCCATGATGGCAGTTTGGAAATTCAGTCTCTCTTGGCCCTCTTCATCCTTTTCCTCATTTCTAGCTTCCTCTTCCTGATGGGGGTCAGGGCTGACATCTCTGGATTGATCTTTAGTCATTTGAACCTTGGTTCTAGGTCCTCCAGGTCTGATGGCACATTTGGGTACCCAAATCGGACAAAAGCCACCTTCTGGAAAAACACCAGCATGACCTCCACCCCACATTATGACTGAGTCTGGACCTTTCCTTTGTCCTGTAGGTGAATCTTCCCACCAAGCTTGGCCCACGGGACCTGTTGCAGTGGAAGACATGTGTCTCCTGGCTGCAGTGTGACCTTCAGAGTCACAATTTTAAAAAATTAAAACAAACAAAGCATGATTAAGGTTATTTTGTAGGGTCTTATTTCTCCCTTTTTGTTTTTGTAATTGTAGGTTAATAGATAAATGAGCTTGTTCTACAATGGCTGGACCTTGAGGATCATCAGGGACACCTGCTTTATGATCAATACAAAATTGATGACAAAACTGCTGAAAAGAACTAGTGTGAGCGGGAGTATTATCAGTTTAGATCTGATAATGACTATTTGGCATAGCAATGATATAACCTGTAAAGGACATCCTAATGCTTCAAAGTAGGTAGGCAATGCGAATGAGAAATGACATGTTGAGTATTTTTTTTAACATGGGCAGTGGAAAAAATAAGTGGAGAATAAGTATCAATGATATCTTGAACATAACAATGTTTGCCAAACTGAGGGATGTGAGTCACATCTATCTGCCTTAACTGATGCCGTCATAAACCCTGGGATCAACCCCAGTTGATGAAGATGGAATATGGATAACACATTGTGGACAATGATGGACAATTTTACGAGCTTTTCTCTAGTGATATTGATTTTTTTAATGTAAACCAGAAGAGTTCTGATGATGTAAATAATGTGAGGCTTGTGAACAATGACATAAAGATATTTGTTGACCAACAGCAACAAGTTTATGAATTTTATCATTACCTGATACTAAAGACCTGGAAGGTTAGATTGTGCTCATATATGGCCTATGAAACATGGATGGTGACACATTTGAACTGTCTTTTGTAAAGTATGAAACAAATAACTCTTGTGATGGTGTGTTTCCAATATTCAATGTTTCAATATTTTTCATAATTCCAACTGCATATAAACTATCGGAATAAATATTGATTGAAAAAAATTTTAAAAAGGAAAAAAATATTGATTGGCTCATTAGCAAAATGAATTAAAGCACAAATGAGAGCCAGAAGTTCTGTTCATTGTGCAGAAGTATGTTATATCTGTATTATCTCCATATGAGCATGGATATAAAACCTGCTTATCCTGAACTTGATCCATCAGTAAATATGTTAGTGCTCCAACTATTGGTTGACCCAGGGAGAAAAATTAATGTAGTTACAAGAGCAAACTGAATAAGTTTATCATGAGGGTAATGGCTTTCTATTTGACCAGGCAAATTAGCAAAAGCTATTTGCCAAGTATTGGAAGATTGCCAAAGCCAACTATGCTGTTGAGTAGAAAAGATAACAATAATATTTGGTTTTGAGCCAACTAATTGTAAAACTTGTGTTTTTAGTTTAATAACTAGCTGATATATAAAATCAGGAAATGGAGTAAATGACTTTTGAGGAGAATGAGATATGTGAAGCCATTCAACAATTCGCAGTGATTGCCATATGCTCCCATAGGGGTATGAACAGTGGAAAATGTTAATAAATATATAGGCTCTTGTGAATTGATTCTAGTAAGATGTGCTGTCTTAATGGCAGATTCAACTTTTGTTAAGGCACTCCTTGCTTCTGCTGTAAGCTGATGAGGAGAGGATGGAGAAGGATCTCCCTGTAAAACTTGAAATAAAGAACTCCAATCTGCAGTGGTCAGTTTTAAATCTGGTTGCAGCCTGAAAGGAAGGTGACACTGGCACTCAGAGTGACCAAGAGATCTTTATTGTGGCAATGTGGTGTGTCTGAACAGGGAAAGGAGAGAGAGAGAGAGAGGAAACAAGAGGGAGAGAAGCAAGAGGGGGGCCCTGCAGGAGAGAGTTTTTATAGCTAAAATCTAATGGGGTCTCCGGGTCTGCAAGCTGCCTTGTTGGCGTACAGTGATTGGATCATACAGTAGTTGCTAAGGGTGTCATCTTCTGCCTTCAGGCAGACTGGGCAGGGGCTAGATGTGGGTTTCTGTTGTACCAGATGGATTGGGGTCAGGTGTTCAGCCTTGAGTGGGGTTGAGTGTTCAGAGTTGAGGCAAACAAGGCTAACTTTTTTTTTTTTTTTTTTTAGAGAGAGAGAGAGAGAGAGAATTTTTTAATATTTATTTTTTAGTTTTCGGAGGACACAACATCTTTGTTTGTATGTGGTGCTGAGGATCGAACCCGGGCAGCACACATGAACTAGCCAAAAGAAAGCCACCCCTGGGATAGATGACATATGCATTAAGGAACTGTTCACATATTGGAGCTATAGCCTGCGTAATGAGATCTTGACACAGTGTTGGACTATTGGCCATTCCTTGAGGTAACACTTTCTAGCAAAACCTTTTAATGGCTTTTTGAAATTTATAACTGAGATGCTAAAAGCAAATCTCTTACAATCATCTGGATGCAACTGTATAGTGAAAAAAAATCTTTTAAATCTATTAGTATTAATTGATAATCAAGAGGGATAGCTGTAGGAGGGGAAGTCCAGGATGTAAGGTGCCCATGGATTCCATAATATGATTAACTGCTCTAAAATCATATGATAATCTCCATTTACCAGATTTTTAAAAATTAAGTTATAGATGGACACAATATCTTTATTTATTTATGTGGTGCTGAGGATCAAACCCAGTGCCTCATATAGTCGAGGCAAGTGCTCTACCACTGAGCCACAACCCCAGCCCCATGGCCAGATTTTTTTTTTTTTACCACAAAAACTGGAGTATTCCCAGGACTAAGACAAGGCTAAATATGATTGGCTTGAAGTTGTTCTTGGACTAAAATATTGGCTACTTGGAGTTTTTCACCTGTAAGGGGCCATTGGTCAATCCAGCAAGATCAACAGACAGCCGATTAATCTTCTCTGTTGTTTTCTGGGCCAGGGAAGAAACCAATTACCCCATTAAGAATTTTGTTTGGGTGAATTAGATAATTTAAATTGTCTTTGTTGAGAAGACTGATTTATAGGTAAATACCCTTCTTGTTGATTTCCTTTTAATCCTTTAGTGGAAATAAATATTTGATCAAGCATTTGAGGTGACACCATAGATTTAGGAGTTAATAATACTCTTAGGGGCGGGGGTTGTGACTCAGTAGTAGAGTGCTTGCCTAGCATGTGTGAGGCACGGGGTTCAAGCCCCAGCACCACATAAAAATGAACAAATAAAATAAAGGTATTGTGTTCATCTACAACTAAATATATATATAAAATACTCCTAGGCTATTCAAAACATCTCAACCCAAACATTCACTGGTAAAGTATCAAGGACATAAGGTTTTAAGAGTCCTCTATTGCCACCCTTACCTTCCCTTCGGAGGTACTGGGCGCTGAGAGGTCTGTCCCATTCCTTCTAGACTAGCAGGTGCAGTACGCAAAGGCCGATTTTGGGGCCGAAATTTGCTAGAGATGACTGATTTATTTGCTCCTGTATCTATTATGCCCTTAAAATTTTTATAGTTAATTTTAAGATCCAATAGAGGGTGCTCTTGGTCACAAGCTGTCTATGGGCTGTGTGTGGACTATGTTACACATTGAAGCCTCCTGAGGGGAGAAGTCTGGCACTGAGAACTCCTGGGGCACTCCCCACAGGGATTGACAGCTTGACACAGGTGAACTTCCCCCTCAAGGTCTGCCAAAGATCCCATACAGCACCTGAGATGGGTGTGACCTGCCAATATGTCAATCAACCCGCTGACTGCAAGACATCACAAAGCAAGACTCCACCCTTGAAACCTTACCCCTGCCTTTGATGTACCCCCCTTAAATAAACCACCAGAGCCATTTTGATCTATCAGGGGCTTCACTTTTGTATATATTCATTTTTAAAATATTTATTTTTTAGTTGTAGTTGGACACAATACCTTTATTTTACTTATTTTTATGTGGTGCTGAGGATCGAACCCAGGACCTCACACGTTAGGCAAGCGCTCTATTGCTGAGCCACAGCCCCCAACCTATATTCATTTTTGTATGTATTTCTGAGTGTTTGTGTTTTATATTTGTTCGTTATTTGAAATATTAAGATTTAGAGTGGCTATTTAGGGTGACTTGGATTCCTCTGGGCAGAAGAACCCTCCAATAAGATTCTGGTCATCTTCCATCTGAAACTCTTGCTTAACAAATTGAGCCCAATAGGCTCTGTCCAGGGACCCGGAGTCTGAATTTGCCAGGTCTGTCTGATGAATCTTTCCCTGCAGAACAACAAGGCAAGAAAATCATCGTGCAATTGCATCTTTTAGAGAAAGCCGAATAATGGAATTTGTTTGAACTGTAATCTTCATTTCCCCACTAAAATTTACATCAAGAACACTGGTGATGACTGAGTTCCTTTTTGAGTTAGATTGCTTCTTCCCAGTATTGAACCTACTGTATCTGGCAGCAGTGGCCCATAAATTCCTGTAGGAACAAACTATGGACTCATCTCTGGAGTCAGTAGGAATTCTGAAGCTGGATGGAGCTCCAAACTCCTGGTTCCTGAACAGATTAACCGGGAGGTTGAGCCTGCACATAAGGAGTCTGGGCTAGAGGGAAGGACCCCGACCTGGAGCTTACACCCCACTGTGGGCAGGGGAGGTAGCATCAGTGGAGTGTTGGCATCAGTGGAGGTAGCCTGTTGGTGACCTGCTGGGCATGCCATTCCCTTGCCTAGAGGTTGCCCTCCCCCCCATGGCTCTGGCAGAAGCCTGGCACATCTATTTGGGCAAAAGCCTGCAATCTCTGGCCCTGTTTTCCCACAGTTAAAACCCTGCCTTCCATCACGGCTCTCCTTTGATGGAGTCCGTAGAACCTGTTTTAATGTGGTGGCTATGGCTGATCCCTGCAGATGTGCCTGCCTGACATTGGCACAAAGGTGGATATAATCAACAATACAATTGAATCACTTCTTGGCAAACTTTATTAGCATTTTCAAAAGCTAGAGGTTTGGAGCTGGGGATGTGGCTCAAGTGGTAGCGTGCTCGCTTGGCATGTGTGGGGCACTGGGTTCGATCCTCAGCACCACATAAAATAAAATATTGTGTCCAACTACAACTAAAAAATATTAAAAAAAAAAAAAAGCTAGAGGTTTAACTAATACCTCAGAGTCCTCCGAATCTCTTATCATGCAATCTGCGGCTTGGTATAAATGTGCCACAAGCCCAAACAATTCTCTGGTCCCTGAGAATTGGATTTAACTGAAATTTAGGGGTTTTTCTCCTTTATTAGTAAGTCTCTCCATGCCCTTCTGGCACATGCATTAATCTGATTATAAGCTTGCAAATCATAATTTAACTGTTGTCCAAATCAGTAAATTTTCCCATCTCAGTCGATATGTCTACCATAATAATTCCATGCCTTCTATTAACTTCTGCCTGCTCAGAGTAAAAATTCATCAGTTAGATTGCCATAGCAAATAATCACCTCCTGAAAGACGGGCTTTTGCTAGCGTGACCCAGTTATAAGGCAGCAAAATGTCACTACATATAGATTCTATCAGGCTTTGAAGAAAAAGGTGAGTTCAGGCCATATGATGAAAAAAATATTAATTTTTTAATGTTTTAAAAGAAATGGCAGTATGAACTGGTACACATTGGTTTGGGCCACCTATCAGCTTGAAAATTGCAAATAGTTTAAATCCTGAGATATCTTTTCCCTCCTGTCAAGTGGTTGACACCACATTGGAGTAGGGAAGGGTCTGTGGCTGACAGGTTCAAGGGTGTAAGCCTCGGTCTTCCCCAAGGGAGAGTGGTTGGGGCAGGACCATTTAAATGCAAATGACGGAGGTCTGCTTCTAATTCAAGCACTTCCTCTGACTGAGAATCCTCTTCTGTGTCTCCCAGCTCTGGCCCTTTCCCCATCTCCATCTCCGGGGCCTCTCTCTTCCTAATGAAATTGGATCTGGGCTGCTTCTCTGCCTTTTGGGGCTGTGAACCATGAATTTTGCTCAGGCTGTGCCAGCAGGCTGTATTCTGGCTTCCACAGTTAAAAGCAGATGTGACTTTGCTTTGCCCTTAGCTTTTCTGCCTGTCTTAGGTGTGTTAGGCTACCTGCAGACGAAGAAGCCCTAGGTGCTGAGCAAGCCTGTTCACTAGGTCTGACTTTTAAGTGCATCTCTAAGGCCTTAAGTAAGTGGCCCGTAAGTAAGTCTCCCGAAGGCCATCAACCAATATCTTGGGCAGAATATAAACTACTGCAACCCTATTTTTTTCTACATTTTCAATCATATGTAAATCAAGTGACTCCCCTTCACAGAACCATGGGCATATTTCCCTAATCTTCTTAAGAACTGAGTGAGCTGTGATCTTTATCTTTTCCCTTTTGTTTTATTATCATCTTCAAAATTGCAAAATGAATTTCTTTTTCTGAAGACAAAGAGTTCCCCATGCTTAACATCCCATGATAAATAAACTTTTCTCTCTCCTTTTTCTCTTAGTATACTAATTGCTAATTCACAAGCGCTTTTCCTGTGAGAGAGAGACAAACACTCACTAGTTACCTTTGAATTCCACGAAATGAGGATTCTTGTTCCCGGCACCAGTTCCTGCCCAGGTCCCAAGAGGGCAGTGGGACTGGGGTTTCCCTGGGGAGAATGGGCTGGCTGGGAAGTAAAAGGTAAAAGAAATAAAACAGCGAGGGAAACACACACAGAGAACACAGAAAGTAGTTTCAAAAGCAGGGGCAGGAGGGGCAAGCTGATCAGAGTCATGGAGCTTCTGAACAAAGATGGAGCCCAACCTGCTCTATTCATACTGGGAAACATCAAAGGCCTTCCCTAGAATGTTCTTTACCAGAATAGGATAAAGGTGGGTTGCTCAGTTCCTAACGGATATGCCCATCTCCAGTACAACTATGAGGAACCTTCCTAGCAGAGCAGAGGGAAGGTCACATCAGTGGGCGATCCACTGTCATGGGAGAGCCACAGGACGTTCCCAATGCCAGGCCTATCCCTCCCTGGCTTCCATGCCAGAGAAGGTCCTCACGAATTTCATGGATGGCCTCCCACAAGCAACGAACCCAACAGTAGACTGTCATGGTGGATTGAATGTTTATCCTTCACAACTGCTGGTGAGTGTCACGGCCATGGTGAGAGTCAAGTAGAGGCAGGTGCATTAGGAGACGACGGGAAGCAGGTCAGACTGATGCCCGTGGAGAAGGGGTCTGCCATGGAGAGTCTGCCCTGGAGCAGGGGTCTGTGGACGAAGGGGGCAGTCTATCATGAGGTGTCCAGACCCCAACAGGGTAGGCTCATTCTCAGGAGGTCTGAGCTGCCTGGGAAAATAATAAGTCCAAAATAATCAGTAAGAAATAAAGACAGAGCCAGAAATTAGATATAAAAAGAGGAGCACCTCATGGATCTCCCAGTCCTGATAGGAGCTGGAGCTAAACAATTAAAAAAGGCCCTGAATTTTTTTGTTTAAGGGGAGTCCCTCAAAGGTAGGGATGAGGTTTCAGCAGGAGGAGTCTTGGTAGTCTTGTTTGGTGCCTGCCTCTCAGCGTGGTGGGGATCTTGCAGGAAAACAGGTTGATTGGCATTTTGGCAAGCCACACCCATCTCCAGGAGGCTATGTGATTCCAGGGCCACTCTCATATCTAGCTATGCTAGAACTTGAGCAGTGAGCTAGGTAGGACATCACATGAACCAGGCATTCTCAGAGCAGTGGATTCCCACTGGGAGTTCCAGATACCAGGCTTTCCTGCCCAATGGCTCCAAAATGGCTTAGTCCATGTGTAGTGGCACCCCCTTTCTCCACAGAAAGGTCTTAATTGGGCTTCTCCACAAATCTTCACCATGGTTGATTTTAGAACTGTCAACAAGAGTCTCTGCAAAAGAGTTCAATGTAGATAAACTTCCTATTTTAGTGTCGCCCTCCACCGCGCGACCAGCACGCTGGTTTCATACAAGAGGGTCATAGCATAGAAGTTGACTAGTGAGATAGAAATAAACACACAAGACTCAATTACCTTTTTCTTTGACCAGGTCCGAGACGGCCCTTCCTCTAGCTCTCACCTTGAACCAACCAGTGGGCCAGCAAGGCAGGACTAGCAGGAGAGAGAGAGAGAGAGAGAGAGAGAGAGAGAGAGAGAGAGAGAGCGAGCATGCCAGGGAGTGGCCTTTTATTGGGGAACAAGAAATTCAGGGGAAAATTCCATCCAATGAAGGTCGAGGGGGGCAGCATTCCAAGGTCAGGGTCAGTGATTGGTCTCAGGGTCAATGGTCAGTCACACCCCCACACGGACAGGCTCTCGCACCAGGAGAGGGTGGGGATTAGCTCCGACACAGTTTGGCCAGAGCGCCTCACACCCAATCAGGGAGGTGCCCAATCATGTGCGAGAATGGCTCCCCACATATTCCCCCTTTTTTCTCTTAAAAATCAGGCAGTGGTTCACTCTTTCGAGTTTCTGCATTCTTGTTCCGAAGACTCGCCATCCTATAATTACAACACAAAAGAGAATTAACAGCAAGGAGAACAATCCAATAATGTACCAGGCCGAGTGTTTAAGAATATTTCCAGGGTTAAATCCATTTAACTCCTTCAATATTTGGTTAGCCAAAGAAGAAGGATCTGAAAAATCAGCTCTATTATTTTGAATGTCTTGGATATGGTGATGAAGTTCCAAAAGATCCAAGCTATTATTATTATTTTGCCAAATACCTAACAAATGGTTTTTAACCTTCTCCCAATCCCAGAGAGAAGCATTGTACTTGGCAGCTGTAACACACACATATATTTATAATTTGCATGGCATTTAAGCCTTTCTTTAAATTTTAAAGCTGAAAGTTCATTACCTATGTCTATAAAAGTCGCCTCTAAGGTGTTTAATTTAGTCACAATCCTTTCATCAATATTTACTTGATTACGCCAGAGCCTTGGAAGTATTTTGAGCTAAATTATTAAGAAGGGCTGGGGATGTGGCTCAAGAGGTAGCGCACTCGCCTGGCATGTGTGCGGCCCGGGTTCGATCCTCAGCACCACATACAAACAAAGATGTTGTGTCCGCCGAAAACAAAAATAAATAAATAAATATTTAAAAAAATAAATAAATAAATTATTAAGAAATTTTGCATGCTGAATATTTTGAGACAATGTCAGAGATGCAGAAACAGTGGATGCAATAAAAGAAACTAACACCAAAACACCAACAATTATAACTCCAATAGCACGTTTAGGTCTTGCTAGCTGGGCATGAATTTGCTGCAAGACTTGTAAACCAGTATCAGCGTACCATGGCTCTGAAATATTAGCAGGCAATAAAACAAAAGAGGGCTGATGAAGTACCAGCACTCCTTTTCCTCCATTATACCTAGTAATACAATTGGTTAGGTTACATTTGTTACATGTGACAACATATCTGTCATCTATCCATTTAACTTTTACATTTCCAATAATTAAAACATAAGGAGATTGGACACAGGCTCGTAAGCCATAGCAAGATCCCTCCTTACAGTTCTTGCCAATAAATTTTGGTAAAGGCTTGTCTGTAAAATGTAAGAATTCTGAGGCAGCAATTAAGCGCCAAACATCTTTTTGAATACCACCCTCACTGTAAGTCAAAATATTACTAACAAATCCTGCAGGTGTCGTTAGCAGAATTTTTTCATAATTGTCTCTTATCAATTTTTGGAGACCAATCTAAAATATACACACTATCTTTAGACACCTTGTGTTGTACAGGAAAAGTATTTACACAATCCATCCATCTAGGAAAGGTGCCAATATCAATTGTAGAACTGTTTGGACAGTGGGATATCCGTGGAGGTTTTGCAGAAATGACTGGCTTGTTATGGGAAAGTCCCATCTTAATTACTGATCTAGTATAAGGTTTTAAGTCTCCATAAATAGAATAATTAGTCAGTCTAGGTCTACCAATTGCTGTCTTTTCCTCAAATGATACTTTCAGACAGCCAGCATGTTTATCGTGGGACCAACACAAAGGTAATTGAGCACTGTAGCCAGAATAATTAAATCTAGTCACATGATTGGGAGTAATATGAGTATCTGTAAATACTCCCATCATGAATGAGTCATTAGTAAACACTGGGATAGATTCTCCAGTCCACACAGCTGGGCGTACCAGGGGTGGATCTGGGAAATATGTCCAGTAAGTGTCTATCTGATCCCCCTTTACCTGACAGCCCAGCAGGGCAATTACTGTTGCTACCACCAAGACTGGGGTCCTGTTCTTTCCTAGGAGTCGAATTATTCGGGAAGCCTGTGTTATTAGCTTCTTCTCCTCTTCCCATGAAATCAGCTTTTCAGCTGGGTCAATCTGGTTTCTCTTTGTCTTTTTCCAATATCTCTTCCTTTTGGATGGGGGCTTCTCCGGGTCGATCTTTAGTCGCTTGAATCTCGGTTCTATCTCTTCCATGTCTGATTGCGCGTTCAGGCACCCAGATAGGATGAAAAGCACCTTCTGGAAAAATACAAGCATGACCTCTGCCCCACATAATCACTGGGTCTGGGCCTTTCCATTGACCAGTCTGTAAATCTTTCCACAAAACTCTGCCTAAAAGGCCTGTTACTGAGGGAGACATTTGCCTCTCAGCCGCAGTGTGACCTTCTTCATCACAGTTTAAAAAATTTAAAATGAACAAAGCATGATTGAGGCTATTTTGGGGAGTCATAAACCTACTCACCCTTTTAATTTTTGTAATTGAAGCTTAATAGATAAATGAGCTCTTTCCACAATGGCTTGACCTTGGGGGTTATTATAAGGAATTCCTGTTTTATGATTAATTTGAAACTCTTGGCAAAATTGTTGAAAAGAAGAGCTTACATAAGCTGGTGCATTATCTGTTTTAATCTGCATAGGGCACCCTAACACAGAAAAGGCTGCTAGGCAATGAGAAATTACATGTTGAGTATTTTCCTTAGTATGTGCTGTGGCAAAAATAAATCTGGAATAAGTGTCCACTATGACATGCACATAACATTGCTTACCAAATTGAGGAATATGAGTTACATCCATTTGCCATATTTGATTTGGTTTTAATCCATGGGGATTTGCCCCTGATGGTGGAGATGGAGTATGAATTGGGCATTGGCTTACAATTTGACGAGCTTGTTCTCTGGTAATATTAAATTTTTTTACGTAAGCTAGAAGCATTTTGATGATGCAAGGAATGGGAAGCTTGTACACAGTCATATGAAAACATCTGTTGACAAAAACCTACTAATTTTTCAATTTTGTCATTACCTGAAACTAAAGGTCCTGGAACATTAGTTTGAGCCTATGAAACGTGTATTTTCGCATTAGCACTGCCTTTTGTAAATTATGAAATAATTCAAATAACTCTTGTGATGAAGTATACCCAATAACTGAAGTTTCAATATTTTTGGTAACACCGACTGCATATAAGCTGTCAAAATAAATATTAATAGGCTCATTTGCAAAGTAATTTAAGGCACAAATCAGAGCTTTAAGCTCTGCTCTTTGGGCAGAAGTATATGAAGTTTGCATTACCTCTATGTGAACACGACTATAAAAACCTGCTTTACCTGAGCTTGAACCATCAGTGAACACCGATAAAGCTTTATCTATAGGGCGTGCACGCACAATCTTTGGATAAATGAGTGACGTTAATGATGCAAATTGGATAATCTTATCACAAGGGTAATGGCTATCTATCTGGCCAGGAAAATCAGCAAAAGCTATCTGCCATAAGCTAGAACTTTGAAAAAGCCAAAATTCCACCATGGGACCAGTGCACTGGTTTCATTAAAGAGGTTCGTGGCATAAAAGTTAACTAGTGAGATCAAAATAAACACACAGACTCAATTACCTTTTTCTATGACCAGGTCCAAGATGGCTCTCACCTCTCTGGATCACACCTCAAACCACCTGGTAGGGCAACAAGGCTTACTCAGGGCTAGCAGGAGAGAGAGAGAGAGCATGCCAGGGAGTGGCCTTTTATTGGGGAACAAGAAATTCAGGGGAAAATTCCATCCAATGAAGGTCGAAGGGGGCAGCATTCCAAGGTCAGTGTCAGTGATTGGCCTCAAGGTCAGTGGTCAGTCACACCCCCACATGGACAGGCTCTCACACCAGGAGAGGGTGGGGAAAGCTCCAACACAGTTTGGCCAGAGCGCCTCACACCCAATCCGGGAGGTGCCCAATCACGTGTGAGAATGGCTTCCCACACCAATTAGTCTGTTGAACAGAAAATGGAATAATTATGATATCAGGCTCAGATCCAATTAATTGTAAAATCCTAGTTCTACCTTTAATTACTAATTGAGCAATAGAGTCAAGAAAAGGAATCAATGTTTTTTGAGGGGAGTGGGCTAAATAAATTCACTCAATAACTCCTAATCTTTGCCATATGGCTCCTGTTGGGGTATGCTCAGTTGGAAATATTAATAAATACACTATTTCCTTAGGATCAACTCTAGTAAGTTGTGCATTTTTAATTGCATTTTCAACCCTTTTTAAGGCTGTTCTAGCCTCTAAGGTCAGCTGACGTGGAGAGGTTGGAGAAGGATTTCCATGTAATATCTGAAATAAAGGACTTAACTCAGAAGTAGTTAGTTTTAAGGAAGGCCTCAGCCAATTAATATCTCCTAATAGCTTTTGAAAATCATTAAGGGTATGTAACTCCTTAACTCTTATCTGAAGATTTTGAGGACGGATTGTACGTCCTTGAATTATCTGACCTAAATATTGCAAGGGAGGCATCTTTTGAATTTTTCGAGGATCAATGCATAAGTGAAGCCTTATTGCTGTAAGTGAAGCCTCTAACTGAGTAAAAATTTCTGAAAGTACCGCTGGATTAGCATGAGCCAATAATATATCATCCATAAAATGAATAATATACGCGTCAGGAAAGCTATTTCTTATGGGAGCTATCGCCTGATCTACATATTTTTGGCATAAGGTAGGACTATTACGCATTCCCTGGGGGAGTACTTTCCAGCAATATCTTTTAACAGGTTCCTTAAAATTAATTGCTGGGACAGTGAAGGCAAATTTTTCACAATCTCCAGGATGTAACCTTATAGAGAAAAAACAATCTTTTAAATCTATTACCATCAAGCTATAGTCTAAAGGGATGGCTGTGGGGGAGGGAAGTCCTGGCTGTAATGATCCCATAGGCCGAATTGCATGATTTATTGCCCTTAAATCCTGCAGGAATCTCCAATTTCCTAACTTTTTCTTAATAACAAAAATAGGTGTGTTCCAAGGACTGAGTGTTGGTTCTATATGACCAGCCTGAAGTTGTTCCTCAACTAACCTATGAATTATTTTAAGTTTTTCCTCTGAGATGGGCCACTGAGAAATCCATATAGGCTCCTAAGTGAGCCAGGTGATTTTTTCAGCTGTCTTAGGGATCGGGGAAATACTCAGGGCCCCTAGTAAAAATTTTGGCTTGGAGCATTTACTAATCTTTGTCATGGAGACTGGTTTGTAAACAGATACTCTACCTGAAGGGTCTCCTTATCATGTCCAGGAAAATACCTCTGATTAACTTCCTCAACTGACCTTATAGAATTTGGAGTAACTAATAACAATCCCATTTTTGCTAAAATATCCCTTCCCCATAGGTTTGCTGGTAAGGACTCTAACACATAAGGTTTTAAAACTCCACTGTTCCTATCAGAATCTTCCCAACGGAGATAATTTGCACTTTGAGCAGGCTGTGAAATCTGTCCAATTCCCCCTAGGTTAGCTGGTGCTACATGTAAGGGCCAATTCCTAGGCCAGAATCTACTAGAAAAGACAGAAATGTCGGCCCCTGTGTCGAGAATTCCCTGGAACTTTTTATGATTAATTTTAAGTTCTAATAAAGGGCGTTCTTGTCACACTAACTGAGACCAGTACACTCAGTCTGGCAGTTTAGAAACTAAATTTACTTGCGGGTGTTTATCCGAATCACAGGGCAATAAAATCAATTGGGCAAATGCATCCTTTGGAGTAAGCCTTAGGGCATAATTGGACCTTACAGTGACATTTAATTGTCCTTTAAAATTTGAATCTATCACTCCAGGTATTACCTCAATGGCTCCTTTTAAATTATTACGTCCCCAAATTAAACCTATAGTATTATCAGGAAGCGGCCCGAAAATCCCAGTAGAGATTTGTTTTGGCCCTGATTCAGGATTCAATTCAATTGTCATTGAGGGTCGTAAGGAAACTGTTTGTGATTTACGTTCAGGTAAAAATGGCGGACTGTTCCTGATCGGCACCAGTGACGTCACACTGTGCGACCCCTTCTCCAATTCCCCGTATTTTTGCTCGGCCTGGGGAGGGGCCGACCGGAAGTTTTTTGTTCTCCTGCTAGGAAGAAATGACGGCGAGAAGGTGGGCTGATCCGCGCCATCTTGATCAGCCACGTGGGGTTGAGTCCTGCAATATCTTATCAACAGTAGATGGAGCCCTGAACGTAAAATTATGCGTGCGGCATTCTCACGCAAAATGATTATTTCTCCCGCAGAGATAGCATCTTCCACGGGGTTTTCGTCCTAATTCCTGCAGTTGTAGGGTTTCTTTCAAGGCCGCGGCTAACGTTACTGTCTGCAAATGGGTGGAATCAATCTCAGAACACAAGCAGATACACTCAGAAACTGTTCCCTTTTTACGATGCGGTCTGAGAACATCCTGACAATAAATATTTATTCGCATTTTCAAATGCCAATTGCTTAACAATAAACTCATACACTCCTGGGTCTCTGATAGACCTATTTGCTGTCTGATACAATTGGGCTACAAAATCCAAATACGGCTCACTGGCACCTTGTTTGACTCTGGTAAGAACTATATTGGACTGGTCCTTGGAGACTATTTGTTTCCAGGCACGTTTAGCACAGTTAGTGATCTGATCATACACTGCAAATTCATAATTTAACTGTCTTTCCAAATCAGCAAATTCACCCGTTCCTAAAAACATTTCTACTGGGGTCTGTATATTTTGTCTTCTATTCCTTTCTGCTTGTTCAGTACAAAAATCAGCCCAATAAGATCACCAAAGTAAGAAATCCCCTCCACGCAAACAAGAGATGGCTAACGAAATCCAATCACTCGGTGGAAGTGGTTGTGAGGCTATGGTATCAATCAAGTTTTGTACAAAAGGTGAATTTGGACCATATGTCTCACAAGCACTTTTCAATTCCTTAATAGTCTTAAATGGGATTACAGCATGAACTCGAACTCTTTGGTCTTGGTCATTAACCTGTTCAAAAACTGGGAAAAGTTGAAAACCGCTAATGTTTTCCCCCGCCTCCTGTGCCTTCTTAATACCTCACTGGAACGGGGTAAGAAAAGTCATTGTTAATTCAGAGTACCTGTTAAATTTTGTCCTTTTAGCATATAATGGCCAAATTCTAATAGCCTGGGCAGGCAGTGTTAAACACAGTCTGTTAAAATTTCTCCGTAAGTCCTTAATTTCAATGTTTGATTCCTCTCCCTCAGACTGCGACTCGTGGGAAGAATCTCCGCTGTTGCCATTTTGAAATTGGGCTTCTAAGCCACGTGGTGGAGAAGGGCTCTGTGCCTCTCTAAGAATTTCTTCCAGATTTTCCTCTCCAGGAGGATCGTCTATCTCTTCCAGAAGACTCTCTATGACTGCGGAGGTTTCCTCTCTATGACCTTCCTCTCTATAATCTTCCTGCAGGCTACCTTGATCTCGTTCCTGCAAGTTTAAAGTCACATTCCTAACTTTCGGTTTAGCCCCAAGAACCTTCCGAACAGCTGAAGGGAAAAGAAATTAACTTCTCAGGCGGATTTTCCATTTGAATAGACCTAATAGCTCTCTGAATGCCTTTCAATAGATCTTCAGGGGACCACAAACTCTGGCCCATGTATTCAAAAAGACAAATTTCCAGAGCCGTCCAAGTTTTCTGTATATTTTCTATACCTCCAGGTAATTCATTAGAAAGGCAAACTTTTTGTAATTTCCTCCCTAGTTTCTCCCAAGTAAGTAAATTTGGGGATTCCTGGTCACAAAACCAAGGGCAAAATTCGCCTACAACCTTTAAGAATTGTAATAACTGAGTTTTTTTAAATCTGTTTTTCTTTCTGATTAATTATGGTGTCTAGAATAGTCAGATACATCTCCTTATCTGTAGAAGTTGAATTTCCCATTTTAATTAATTTAGGGTCTCATTCCTTCAGTACCTCCAGGTACTTTTGTGACCCAAAATTGTCACCAATTCCTTTTATCTTTATAGCACGTTCCCACTCAATCTAGTTAAACTAAAATGCCTCCTCGTTAGGCGCCAATTCCACCGCGCGACCAGCACACTGGTTATATACAAGAGGGTCGTAGCATAGAAGTTAACTAGTGAGATCGAAATAAACACACAAGACTCAATTACCTTTTTCTCTGACCAGGTCCAAGATGGCCCTCCCTCTAGCTCTCACCTCGAACCACCCGGTGGGCCATCAAGGCTTACTCAGGACTAGCAGGAGAGAGAGCGAGCACGCCAGGGAGTGGCCTTTTATTGGGGAACAAGAAATTCAGGGGAAAATTCCATCCAATGAAGGTCGAGGGGGGCAGCATTCCAAGGTCAGGGTCAGTGATTGGTCTCAGGGTCAATGGTCAGTCACACCCGCACCTGGAGAGGGTGGGGGTTAGCTCCGACACAGTTTGGCCAGAAAGCCTCACACCCAATCAGGGAGGTGCCCAATCATGTGCAAGAATGGCTCCCCACATCGCCCTGTTTTACTTGGCCACTGGCCGAGAAGAGACCTGCACTCCAGGTGCTGGACACCCCTTACTAGTTTTCCACAAACATATCCAGTATAGTACTTTGAAGAAATGTGCAAACAAGGCCTCTGGCCTTGAGCTGGGCTTCACAGAGATGTCTACATTTTTAAGTTACAACTGGGCTCCATGGTAACAGCTGGCAGGGGGAGGAAAGAAAAGGGAGAAGAAGTTCTCTCCTTCTCAGATGTTGTCCTTGAAGGGTTAACTTGCCCAGAACAGTGAAAGAAAAAGCTGCTTTTATGTGAACTTCTGAGCCCCTCCCCTCACATGCTGGGTATAAAACTGAAACTATCTGAACTCCTGGTTCAGGGGATTGATTGATTACAGTAAAACTGTGCCCTCTGAACCTGGCTGCAGCCAAATAAAACTGTTTCTTGCTATATTTGGTGCCTTGCCTCGTTTGTCCCTACAACACATGCACAATTCACGGATGGCTCCCAGCAGTGGTCTGTCATGGGGAGCAGGGTCTGTTGACAGAGGGGGTGGTCTGTCACAGAGAAGGGGTCTGCTGATGGGGGGTCTCCATGGAGCAGGGTCTGTTGAGCTCTGCCTGTTCTTCTAGGCTTCTGTCACAAGATGACCTTCTCTGCAGGGGATGTCTATGCAGCACTGTGGCCCTGGACCTCCCAGCCCCCGAGCTATGAAAGTTGAGTTTACTTTCCTTATAAATTGCAGAGCACAGATACTGTGTTTTAGCTGATCTTGGCTAAAGGTGTGAGGCATCAGACAGGGAAGGGCGGTGCTTGGGAACCTGTACGGTGCTGGGAACCTGTACGTCCACACAGAGAACAGTGGGGTGCACGCTCAGCACCCGCCCCCCATGGTACCCACATGGAACCCTAGCACTCCCAGAAGTGGTCACAGAGCTCCTTGGTGCTGGCCTGGGCAATGTTTTGGATAACACCCTGAAAGCTCTGTCGACAACACAGGCTAGTGGAGCTCCATTAAGTCAGAAAGGTGCCCAGCAAGGAAACAGCACAAGGAGTGCGCTGCCTGTGGGCAGGAGAGTAGCCAAGACCACTGTCTGAGGCTCATGGCCAGGCTCCTGGGCAGTCATCAAACAGCCTCCACATTGTAAGAAGTGCTTCTCCCACGGGAAGTCCTCCTCTGTACCCATTAATAGTTACCAGCATAACATGCCTGGCAGCACAAGATAGCAATTCTTATACAATGTGAAATTGTTCTCTTTGGCTCCCATTTTTCTTGGGCAATAATTGGGGAATAATTGATTAGATGTTACTAACCACTCTTTAACTTGTACTTTACTAGGGGCACTTTGATCCATTTATCTTTTGATTATGATGATGGAAAATCCCATGAGAGATACTGAATGAGAACGAAAGCATGATGAAGGACACTACATTGTCTCGATAATGTCTTTATTCAGCTTCTATACTCCTGTTTGCTGGCTTGCTAGTTGCTATGTCAATCTGAATGCAGTTTTTGCCTTTATGTATCCTAAAATGTTGAGGCTCAAGGCTGTAGGAAGAAGTACTGGATGGGCAGAATAAAGACTTTTCAATTGGACAAAACTGGGACTTGTGTGTTTTCTGAGTGACCTGCCCTACAACATCATAAAGGGCCAATGACCAAAGCAGGTAGTGATTCACTAAGAGAAAAAAGCAACACAGTGAGAGATGAACAAAGGCCCTGCACAGTGACTCATGAAAGGCACCACTCCAAGGGTTCTCTGTTCTCGTTTGTGATAGAACTTCTGCCATCAACTTGTTGCCCTCTTTGAAAAACCTGGTTTTGCCAGGCATGGTGGTGCAGGCCTGTGATCCTGGTCACCAGGAGGCTGAGACAGGAGGATCCCAAGTTCAAGGCCAGCCTCAGCAACTTAGTAACGACGTTTCTAAATACAGATTTAAAGAAGGCCTGGGGGTATAACTCAGTGGTACAGTGCCCTTGGATTACATTACCAGTAACCTGCGAATCTGTGTTCCTCTCCTGTGGTCCTGTCACCCGGTGCTGGTCCTCCCCTTCTGTGGTCCTGTCACCCGGTGCTGGTCCTCCCCTCCTGTGGTCCTGTCACCAGGTGCCGGTCCTCCCCTCCACTGGCCCGGTCACCTGGTACTGGACTCCCTTCCGCTGGTCCTAACATCCAGTGCTGGTCCTCCCCTCTACTGGTCCTGTCACCCGGTGCTGGTCCTCCCCTCCACTGGTCCTGTTACCCACTTCTGGACTTCCCTCTGGTGGCCCTGTTACCCCATGCTGGACTTCCCTCTGGTGGCCCTGTTACCCCATGCTGGACTTCCCCTCTGCTGGTCCTGTTACCCAATGCTGGACATATCCTCTGCTAGTCCTGGTACCCAGTGCTGGACATATCCTCTGCTGGTCCTGGTACCAAATGCTGGACTTCCCTTCTGCTCTTCCTGTTACCAAAGTCTAGACTTCCCCTCTGGTGGTCCTGTAATGCAATGATGATCCTCCCCTCTGGTGGTCCTGTTATGTAATGATGACCTTCCCCTCTGATGGTCCTGTTATGTAATGATGACCTTCCCCTCTGGTGGTCCTGTTATGTAATGATGACCTTCCCCCCCTGGTGGTCCTCTTATGCAATGATGACCTTCCCCTCTGGTGGTCCTGTTATGCAATGATGATCCTCCCCTCTGGTGGTCCTCTTATGTAATGATGACCTTCCCCTCTGGTGGTCCTGTTATGTAATGATGACCTTCCCCTCTGGTGGTCCTGTTATGCAATGATGATCCTCCCCTCTGGTGGTCCTCTTATGTAATGATGACCTTCCCCTCTGGTGGTCCTGTTATGCAATGATGACCTTCCCCTCTGGTGGTCCTCTTATGCAGTGATGATCCTCCCCTCTGGTGGTCCTCTTATGCAATGATGACCTTCCCCTCTGGTGGTCCTGTTATGCAATGATGATCCTCCCCTCTGGTGGTCCTCTTATGTAATGATGACCTTCCCCCCCTGGTGGTCCTGTTATGTAATGATGACCTCCCCCCCCTGGTGGTCCTGTTATGTAATGATGACCTTCCCCTCTGGTGGTCCTCTTATGCAATGATGACCTTCCCCTCTGGTGGTCCTGTTATGCAATGATGATCCTCCCCTCTGGTGGTCCTCTTATGTAATGATGACCTTCCCCTCTGGTGGTCCTGTTATGTAATGATGACCTTCCCCTCTGGTGGTCCTGTTATGCAGTGATGATCCTCCCCTCTGGTGGTCCTCTTATGCAATGACGACCTTCCCCTCTGCTGTTACCAAATGCTGGTTTCCTTTTTTCTTTTTCTCCAAATGACCTTCCCCATTCCTGTTACAGAATGCTGGTTTCCTCTGTGGTGGTCCTGTTACCAGATGCTGGTCTTACCCTCTGGTAGTCCTGTTACCAGATGCTGCACTTTCCCTCTGCTGGTCTTAGTACCCAATGCTGGTTTGCCCATCCGGTGGTCCTGTTTCCAGATGCTGGTCTTCCCCTCTGCTGGTCCTGTTACCTGATGCTGGTATTCCCTCTGGTGGCCCAGTTCCAAATGCTGATCATCCCCTCATGTCATCCTGTTACCAAATGCTGGTCTTCCTTCTAGTGAGTTACTGAATGCTGATTTTCCCTCTGGTCCTGCTACTGAGTACTGGTTTTCTCTCTGGTGGTTACATATAGAATGCTCTCTTTATTTTGAGGACATGCAGGTGCTCTGGGTTGAGTTTAGATGTGGAATCATTTCCATTAGTGCACACAAGAGCCCTTGGAGGGTGAGCCCCCATATCTTTCCTATTTTGGGAGGTCTCAGTGGTCATACTTCCAAAGATAGTGAGAGGCTGTACACATGACCACTGCAGGAGGAGGCATGGCTTGTCAACTGTAGATAGAGGTGTGCTCCAAGATGAAGATCTGTTGTTCCAAAAGTTCTTACCTGCAGAGTAGTCCAAATGTGTCTCCCTCCCATGAAACTCCAGTGGCAGAGGCAGCTGCCTACATCATTGTTCTTGTTCTCAGTGGCTGAAAACTCATGGTGGCTCTGGACTTGGCTGAACTTAGAACTGGTGCAGTGCCCCCTGTCTCTTTTCCTCCTACCAAATGCCATCTCTCTCTCCTCCTCCTTCCTTTCAAATGGTTAAGGTTGAAAATCTCTGTGTTCTTTTCTGAAACCAAATACTCATCCTCTGTCTACAGAATGATTCTAAACGCTGGAAATCAGAGGTGTCTGCACGGCTGTGACTGGACAGAATTCACTATGGAGCCTGCTAGGATGTACTTCCTAAGGAGGACTTCAACATGACCTCCTTGGTGGTGGTGTGGCTCAGTGGTTGAGCACCTGCCTAGCATGTGTGAGGCCTAGGTTCAATTCCTAGAATCACAAATAAGGTAAAATTATCTCCCATCCCTTGTTTCTTCCCATACTGTGATTTTGGTGCTTTCTCCCCTTGAATCCAGGTGGGCTTGCAATAGGCCTAATCCAGTGGCAGGTCACTAGAGAACCATGCACCTTTCCCCATTAGAATGCTAGCACTCAGCAGCCTTTGCTCAGACCAGGATTGTGCCCTGTCCCAAATCCACATGGTAAAGTCCTGTCTTCAATGTGGCTGTAACTAGAGGTGGGGCATGGGAGGAGGGAACTAAAGTCAGAGGGTGGAGTCCTGATTAGTGTTCTTATGACAGTGTAAGCTCATGTGTAGGCACTCAGCCATTGGAGGAGGCACCCATGGGGGCAGGAACACCCTCCCCGGGAGCACCTGGATCTTTGACTTGCCAGCACCCAGAACTCTGGGAAATACATTTCCATTGTCAAAGCCACCCCATCTGGTATGTTGTTAAAACAGCCTCAGCTGGCAAACACAATTTCCCTACACTCCTGCCCCACCATACTGTGAGGAAGCACTAGCCTTCAACTTTTTTTTTTTTTTTTTCAATACTGGAGACTGAACCCAGGGGCACTTCACCACTGAGCTAATCTGTAGCCCTTCATCTTGAGACAGGAAGTCAGTAAATTGCTCAGGCCCTTGCCAAGGTGCCGAGGCTGGCCTCCAACCTGTGATCCTCCTTTCTCAGCCCCCTGCCCCTGCCACTGGGGTTACAGGCATGCACCTTCATGCCTGGCTTAGTCTTGAACTTCTAGGCTTCTATGTTTCCCTGTTTACTTTTTGAGTGATTCCTGTGATTTCGTCTCCTCACATTACTGTCATCCTCTCCAGTCCACAGCTGGGTCCAGCTGACAGGTTCCTCATGTGGTTGCAGGCTCAAGAGAGGCTCCTGCCTCAGTCTCCCAAGCAGCTGAATGAAAAGGCACACACCCTCATACCTGGCTTAGGTCCTCTTTTCAATTTATGTTGGTCTCAGGGGTCCACATTGGAAGTCTTCCTAAATATTCAGTGATCCTGGGGCTGGCGGAGAACGCTTGTCTGGCATGTGTGAGGCACTGGGTTCAATTCTCAAAACCACATATAAAGAAATTAAATTAAATCCATCAACAACTAAAAATATTAGAAAAAAGAAGTATGCAGTGATCCTTAGCTACATGTTCAAGAACAAGGTGATAGGAAGCAGGTAAGGAGCTAGCATTCCGGAGTGGGTCTTGTCAAATGCTGGGCCTTGCTGTGCGAGGGCTGGGTGGGCAGTCCACTGTTAGGCCCACCCAAGTGCCACACTTCAGGGGCTCTTTAGGGACAGTGAGTCTCTCTCTAGATGCCTCCCTGCCTCACTTGTGCTGTGTGGTCTGACTCACACTTAGGCATACACACACATTCCTGGATCCTCCCTCAACCTTTCCAGGACCTGTACCCGGCAGAGGAGACTACAGGCCAAGGTTCTTCTGGCTTTATGTCACTCACCTTTGCCTCTGGACATCTCTGGCCCTGTCTCCCTTCATAATACCCTTTCTTGCTCCCCTCTGACAAGTGAGCAGGCCCCCAGTAAGGAACAGGGAACAGCAAGTGCCCAAACTATCACTCTAGTGCAGAGGGACTTGATTCTAACCCAGATTGTGCTGTGTTACCCCTGGGACTTCTCCCCTCCCTGGGCTTCATTTCCTTGTCTGTCAAACAAGAGGGTGGCCCAAGTACGGTGTTCTCAGGTGGCTCACCCTGACCCATTTCTCTCCAGGGCCGAGTCTTACCTTTGCACCCATGGTCACCTGGATCCTCTGTAGCAGAGTACCATGTTCTCACTGTGGTCTTGAGCATGTCACTTTATCTCCTTGAATCTCAGTTTCCGTGTCAGTTGACTGCAGCTCATTACCCGTCCTGACTAGGAGCGGGTCCCCGCCCCAGGCTGGCCCAGGGCTGGAGCTTGACCGTGAGTCTTCTCTCTCCCTTCTAAGGTCAGCCTGTGCCAACAATAAAAAGAATGGTCTTTCCAGCACCTGCCAGGCTGGTCACTTGTCATTCTCATGAGCTGTCGCGACCCCTTGCCCGCAAGGAAGACGCAACTCAGGAATCTTCTTTCAGCAGTTTATTCAGGCCCTTGATATTTCTTCTTCTCCCTCTCGGATGCCCCTCCCAGCCTTAATAAAGCATCTCAAGCCCCAATGCGAAGCTGCCACGTGGAGCTTTCTCATAGGGTGGTGAAAAACTATGTGCCAACTCTCCCAAATAAGGAGTTGTTTGTCACAGACCACAGCGGAGCCAGCACCATCTTGTAATGGCGACCATAGTCTGCAGAAACGGCAGAAGCGGCTCACCACAGTTCCCCCTTTCTGTTTTCTTAAAACAATACAGGCGAGAGTAGAGGTCCTATCCCACTGTGCAGAAGTGGCTGCATAGTATGGCTCAGTCCTAAGGAGGGCCCTTCCCCAGATCTGAAGCCATATCAGCCGACGCCTTTTTTCGTGGGGCGGGGCGTGGACGCGTCTAACCCGCATGCAATAGGACATGCTCTCCTTGAGGTCCACATCAAGGATCACTCAAGTGCAGTGCCTTGCCTCGCATCCTGTATCGTGACGATGGTGGACGAAGGGGGATAGCTGAGGCTGAACTATGGCTGTTTATAACGACAAACAAGTTGACAGCACCCTGAAAGAAAGGCACGGACTTTAAGGCGATAGAAAAGCACTAGTGTGGAAACCCATCTGCGTGCAATGGCAGTAAGACCGGCAGAGTGCAAGGGCTTTCCAACACTAAGAGAATAACAAGGAAAGTCATGTCGATCCCAGTGCAATGTTATAATAACTTGGGGTGTAACGACCATGTCAAAGGTTTACTGTTTAAGATGCGCAAGCCAGACTTGAGGTGAGTTGCCATTTTCTAAAGCTGCAAGAGCTTGTATGATCATAGCCTTTTCTTGTGCATGGCGAGTTTTAAGGCAACAGAGAAGCCACAAACAAAGCACAACACCGAAGCAACACATAGCACCAAAAATGCCCACTCCCACCCATTCCTTTAAAAAGGAAAAGGCAGAGGATAGCCAACTGGTGAATTGACCCAAAGTCACTGGTTCGACATGGGTGCTATTCAAAACAGCAATCCGAGTTAGTTGAGACTGGATCAAGTTTTCTGCTTCCATGGACCAATTTCCGGCCAAATATTCGCCAATGATGCGGGAGGCATTCCTGGAATCATTAAATCTGACAGAGGTTATACATAAATGTGCACGTTGATCAATACAACCCAAATGTACTAGGTCAGACAATTCCTCAACTTGAGCTTGAAGCAGATCTATCCTTTGATTAGCAGCCAAAATCCCAGACAGAATGTGTTGATTAATTCTACTTTGAGATTCAAGTATGGTGGATGTTTGTTGAATAACCTGATTAATAGTGGCAGCAGTTTGTACCTGGCTGGCCATGGCTACTCCAGCTGTAACTGCTGCAGCAGCAGATACCGCCACAGCTGTCACTATAGCTGCCGTAATTCCAAAATCTCTACGGGCTCTAATCAGTTCAACAATAGGAAAGGATTCTGGATCTGCAGTAACCGGGATCGGGACAAAGGTTGGAATTTTCATAACCACTGCCATAGGCCAGGATCCATTCCAACACTCAGACAAGTAACAGGTAATATTAGAGCAATTAAGCATCCCCTGTGATGTAACATTAGCCAAAAGAAACAGGAACGGAGATTGGAGACAGACTGCTGCGGAGGGTAATGTAGCATTAAACAATTGTGAATTATTTGCAGAAATTTTAAGCCTCCTACCTCGCTCTGAGTCTTGGGTACTGCCAGAAACATTAAACAGCCAACTTTGGACTCCTAATATTTCCCTGGGGAAACACAAGCGCGGACTAGACTAGCCCAATCTGAGGGAGTCATGCAAAATCTAGTAAGTCCCTCCACCTGAGTGAGAGTGAAAGCGGCATCTATGCCATAAGTGCGGACAGATTCTGCCAAGGTTTTAATTATCTTAAAGTCTAAAGGCTCATGATATCTTCCCCTGTTATTGTCCTGAAATACAGGGTATGCAAGTCCCATATCTGTATTAACTGTCCTCCAAACTTGTGCATGAAAAGATCTCCCGGAACCTTGGCTCCCCCCCACATACGGAGGTGGGGCAATCGGCACCATATCTTCTTCTAGATATTCTACCTCCTCCTCCTCAGAGTTTTGTTGACCGATGTTAACTCCCTTCCCCTTCTTACAGTAGGCCTGCGTGCCCTGTGTCTCCTTTTTCTTCTTTTTCATTTTTATCTTATGTAGTTGTTGTAACAATATATCAAGGTCCTCAGAACTCTCTGAGTCGCTTGTGTTCTCAGGCGTTTTTAATTCGGTCAAGTCTGGGTAGAGCCTTCTCCTATTTTTATCTTCAGGCTCTTTTGCCTTCTCACTACTGTTACTTTTAATACTCTCTGCCACTTCACTACATGATCCTTCAGATTTTTCCTCAGGCAGTTGCTCAAGAATAGCTTGACCCTCACTCACAGCTTCCTGGCATTTACCATCTGTTATACATCCTCTAACTAACTTCCAAAGTGGTATAATGCCACCCTGCAAGGTACCTTGCTCATGAGCGAAATCTAGATCTTTCCCTAATTTGTCCCAGCTGGGAACCGTAAGACTCCCTGAAAAAGCAAACCAAGGAGCCGCTATATCAGCTTCTCTTAAAAACATCTGCAAAGTACTCTGCTTTATCTTAAGTCCTTTTGAATGTAACAACCCATCTAGGGCCAACAAAATTGGGCTTGAAGAAGCAACACCCATAATGTTTTTAGAGCTATAAAGAAAGTGAAAGTACAAAAGTCCCCGCTCTCTTCCTTTTACAGGGGAGCGTCCCTGTCGTCACAACAAAAGAAGCACAAAAAACAAAAGCGAAATGACACAACAAAAGAAACACAGAAAACAAAAGCGAAAGTACACAGTGCAGCTGCAATAAAATGTAATGCTCTCTCTTTCTTTACAGAGGAGCTGCCCCGCTTCAGTCGCGGATCCCACTTACCTGGGACTAACCCCGCTTTGATCGCGGATCCCACTTATTGGGACTAACCCCGCTTTGGTAGCGGATCCCACTTACCTGGGACTAACCGGGGCACCACCCCTGACTGCTGAAAGTTCTGGTTCCCGGGTTTCGGCACCACTTGTCGCGACCCCTTGCCCGCAAGGAAGACGCAACTCAGGAATCTTCTTTCAGCAGTTTATTCAGGCCCTTGATATTTCTTCTTCTCCCTCTCGGATGCCCCTCCCAGCCTTAATAAAGCATCTCAAGCCCCAATGCGAAGCTGCCACGTGGAGCTTTCTCATAGGGTGGTGAAAAACCATGCGCCAACTCTCCCAAATAAGGAGTTGTTTGTCACAGACCACAGCGGAGCCAGCGCCATCTTGTAATGGCGACCATAGTCTGCAGAAACGGCAGAAGCGGCTCACCACAATGAGCCACAAGGCAAGAACCATTTCTATATTCCCAAAAAGGAAAGCAAGGACACCAAGGAAAAACTAAGACTTCTTGGAAGTTACAAATGGGATTGTTGGGCTGGGGATGTGGCTCAAGCGGTAGCGCGCTGGCCTGGCATGTGCGCGGCGCTGGGTTCAATCCTCAGCACCACATACAAATAAAGATGTTGTGTCTGCCGAAAACTAAACAATAAATATTTTAAAATTCTCTCTCTCTCTCTCTTAAAAAAATTTTTTTTAAAAAATGTGATTGTTCAGGGGCTCAGGTTGTGGCTGAGTAGTAGAGCACTGGCCTAACAAGTGCAAGGTGCTGGGTTCGATCCTCAGCACCACATAAAAATAAATAAATAAAATAAAGTTATGGGGCTGGGATTGTGGCTCAGCGGTAGAGTGCTCGCTAGCACTGGTGGGACTTGGGTTCGATCCTCAGCACCACAGAAAATAAAGGCATTGTGTTGTGTCCATCTACACCTAAAAAATAAATATTTTTTAAAAAACGGGATTGTTTGGTCTGGAAGTGTAGCTCAGCAAGAGTGCACTTGCCTAGCATTGCAAGTCCCTGAGTTCCATCCCCAGCACCATACGCACAAGACTGCTAAGAGAAAAATTCTATATGAAAGCTGAGAGAGACGAAATTGAAGAATAGAAGTACAGTATCAGCGAATATGAGCAACAGGGGAGGCCCCAAGGGTGGAGGGTGTGTGGCCACTTGCCGCCAGCAGATGAAGTCTGCGGAGTCCTGGGGCTCCTGGGGAGGGCAGGGCCCACGGGTCACACCATCAAAGCTGTGGCAGGCACCTGGTTACAGTCACTGAAGGCACCTCACCGACAAGCACTCAGTCTACCGACAAACGGTCCAAGTCCGTGCCTTGTGCTGCAGGGGGGGGGGGGAGGTGCAGAGCTGGGATGCACGGTGCCGTCCAGCATGCACCATCAGAGAGACCCGGGCGGAGCGCGGGGAGGAAACGGGGGCCGCGGGGAGGCCGCCGCACTCGGGCCTGGGACCCACGGGACTCGCCGTGGGTCGGCCCTGAGCCTTACAGCAGCAGCCCGTCTTGGGGTCCCAGGTGGGGGCACTGAGACAAGAGGGGCAAGGCACTCGCCCAAGGAACAGGCCGTGCTGGGCGGCTTCTCTAAGGCCCCTGCGCGCGATCCCGGCGCCGGCAGCGCTGGGGCTGGAGGGAGGCAGGCGGACCGTGAGGACGCGGCGGGATCCCAGCCCGAGCGTCCGTCCCGGGGGCCCGGCGGGCGCCCGGGGGAACACACCAACTGGGTACGCGACGCGCCGCCCCGCCCGCGGGGAGTGTCCTCCCGCTCCTCCCAGGTGCCCGACCCCGTGGTCCGGCGTCCCCGCGACGCGCCTGCGCCTCGCCCCCTCCCGCCCGCCGCGCAGCCTGCTGGGACTTGTAGTCCGGCCGCTGCCGGCCCGGACGCCGGGACTCGGAGTCCCAGAGAGCCGCGCGACCGCCACGACGCCTCCGCTGCCGCTGTCTGCTCGCGGGCTGGGGGCCCCGGGCGTTCCGGGAGAGCGAGGCGGCGCTGGGAGCCCGCGGGCGCTGCGGAGCGGGCCGGGAGGCTGGGATGGAGCCCCCCGGAGGTGGGCGGGCCGCGCCTGCCGGGCGGGGAGGCCGGGGCGCGGGCCGGGCGGAAGCGGGCGGAGGGAGGCGGCCGGCGGGGCCTCCCGGCCCACCCCGCTGACGAGCGGCCTGCGTCCCCAGGGGCCTGAGCGAGCGGGCCGAGCGGGCCTCCGGGCCGCGGACCGACGGCCGCGCGGACATGGCTCACCTCCGCGGCTTCGCGCACCAGGTGAGGCTCGGCGGCCGCGCGTCCGGGCTGTGGTGGTGGCGGAGGGCGGCGGCCGCAGGCCTGGCGGCGCGGCCCGCGGCGGAGGGGGCCGGAGGGGGCCCTGCGGGCGCGCTGGTCAGCAGGTGCGGGGCCGCTGGTGCGGGGCCCGCCGGGCAGCGGTGCTGGCAGCGAGGCCGAGGCGCCTTCCCCGCCGTCTGCGGCCGCGGAGCCCAGGGGACACGAGCGTGGCGCGGCCGCGGAGCCCGGGCGGCTGCCGGCCTCCCGCTGCGTGGCCGTGGCCGCTCGCTCCCAGCGCCCCGCGGGCGGCCCGACCCTGGCGCGGTGCGGGCTCGCCTGCCGCGGACACTGCCCTGGGCCCTCCGCCGCGGGCCGCGTCCTTGAGCGCTGGGCGTGCGAGGCACAGGAAGCGCGTCCGCCACCTGGGCCAGGAACTGGGTCCCCGCTCCTTGGAGGAAACCGGGAACCGCCTGGAAGCCCGAACGCCACCCGCGGCCAGGGTTCCTGGGCCAGGTGTGGTCAGACGGCGAGGGGGCTTGCTGACCTGGGCGGAATTCAGCCAACGATTTTCATTCCGTTTTGCCATTTCGTGTCCGGTAGTTACATGTTTGAGATCCTGGGAGAAAAACCCATCTTCAGCCTATTTTTAAGAGCTGCAGGGTCAGCTTCTGTGGGTCACAGAATGACACAGTGGGACTCTGCGCTGCCCTGTGGAGGGACCGCAGAGGCAGGGAGCACCTCTGTCCGGGGCCAGTTGCTGCGCTCGGGTGAGATACTTGTGACAGTGGCAAGAGACCTTGTGGGTGCTATGCTGGCACTTGGCCTGTGGAGCAGCCTCTTGCTGGGATAACAGCGCACAGTGCCCCCACAGCCTTCACTTGTACTGGACTTAACTCCCTCCACTTGGTCAGTTCCTGCCAGGTGTGAGCACCAAGCCCTCCCTTTTGGGTGGTGGCAGGGCTGTCTCTCGCCGTGTACATGGGTTGCTCCTCATGACTAACAAGACAAGTTGGCACAGAGGCAGAGCCCCCCAGACCTGGCCACCCCAGGGCTGATATGGAGAACTGGGGGTCTCTATTGCCAGAGCTAGTTGAGTGGTCTGAGCAGTCTATCATATCCACCATCCTGATGAGGAATCATATACCCCTGAGTTGTGAGCTGCTTAGCTTTCTTTCACCAGGAGGCCTTGGGAACAGGGCTGTTCTGATAATGAAATTATAGGGTCAGCGTATAATTATAGGGTCTTCTGCTAAGACTGGCCGGCGGCATTGAGCACCCAGAAAGCATGGCATGTGGGGCTTGAGGCTGCCACCTTCCCTGCTGAATCCAGAACTCTGCTTTGGCATCTGTACTTTCTTCTGCTCTGAGGCAGTAGATTTCTGAGTGCCTGGCCTGGGGGTGCCCTTGGACAGACATGACTCTGGGCCCTCAGAGGGGGCAGGAGCAGAGCAGTAAGACACTCTGAGGAGAGGGAAGGCCCTGAGAGTTGGAGGGTGATGGTGCTGGGTGCTGTGGCTGGGCCCTGGCCCCACCTTTTCCAGGTCTTCTTCTCAGGCCATTTTAGAAGGCAGTGGACTGTCTTCAGAGTGACGGGGGATGTGCGCCAGGCAAGTCTGAAGTCTCCAGGATAGCGTCAGCTCCCTCATAGTGTCTTGGGATTTTGCCAGGGTGGGTTTGTGATTGAAGCAGAAGGATTGGTAAGGCATCATCATAGAGTGCCAGGGGATCATTGGGGGCTCATGGTGGGGGCTGAGAAGGTGACCTTGGGCCTGGTGGAGGACAAGCAGAGCTGCTGCTTAGACCTGGTCTTGGCACTGGTGTTCAGGACTGAGCAAGGAACAGGGTGGTCCCCACCAGAACAGAACCCCTACCCATCAGCACCCGGTGGGCGGTTGAGTTGGTGCTGAGAGCGCATACCTCTGGGGATCTTTCCTTTCAGATAGAGCCTGGGTCTAGTTTGATCTGTGTTGCCCACCCCTAGGCTGAGAATAGCCTAACAATCAGCCATGATCTCATGGACTTTTATGGCTCCTTTTCCAAACATGTCAATAGGAGTGGAGATGTGGGGGCAAATGCTGCCTGCCCAGGCCAGCACAGCTAGTGGGACCCCAGGGAGCACTCAGCTTTCTCTGCCTAAGATACCTCAGTTGGGACTTTTAGGACTTCGTGGTGTGCACTGGCTTTAGGACTGGGCAGTGAGGAAGATCACTAGCTGGACTGGTTGCCTCTTAACTACTCAAGCCAGAGAACTGTGGACAGCACAGCCAGCCTGCTTGGAAGGATTAGGTGGCTGCCATGCTGAGCTGCTGGTTTTGTCCCAGGGTTCCTCTCTCTCCCTTCTTTCCCTTTCCACTGGGCACACTCTGCAAAGTTCCTGTCGTCTGTGGAGCCTGGTGCTTAGAAAGGGGTCACAGAGTTGCAGCTTCTGTGCTTCTCCGGGTGCTTCTCCTCGCTGTGCCCGCCCTCCCTCCTTCTTGGTTACACACCCTGGGAAGGCAACTAGTTGACAATTTTAGATTGAAACAGTAGTCTTAGGCTGGATTCAGTCTGCCCAGCACCAAGGCCGCTGTGGTGCACAGGTGTCTGCTCTTGGAGGATGGGGTTTCTTTCTCAGAAGCCCGGTGAGCACACCGCTCCAGGACAGGCCCTTTTGTTAGGACTGAGAGGTTAGCACTGGTGCTGACACTTGGAGTGTGCTGGGCTGTGCACAGAGCACCTTCTGCACTGTTGCCTTAGCAACTCCTAGGCTCTGTTCCCATCTGAGGACTGTGTTGGTTGGATGTCTAGAATCAAGCACCCAAGAAAGCATTTGTCAGCTCAGTGCTTCAGGATGGGGATGCCCTTTTAAGGGATAAGGCTTTCAGGAGTGCCGAGGATGTGTTTAGCCCATGCTAGATTTTTAATTTTTTGGGAGGGGGGTGGGGGGGTGGGGAGGTTACCAGAAATTGAGCTCAGGAGCACTACTAAGCCACACCCCCAGCCCTATTTTGTATTTAATTTAAAGACAGTGTCTCACTGAGTTGCTTAGCGCCTTGTTTTTGAGCTGGGATTACAGGTGTGTGCCACCACACCTGACCTGTGCTGGATTTTTTATTTTTATGGGAGTTTATATTTTCTAGAGAAGTTTCAGGTTTGTAGCAAAACCAGTGAGAGTTTTGAACCAGGCCCCACCTGATCTTGTTATTGACACTTGTCTTTGGTGTGCTACATTGTTGCAACTTACAGACCCTACCTTGTCTAAGACCCATCCTTTCTCCTTGGAGAACAGAGTTAAATTAAGCTTAGATTTTCTGAACAAGGGATAAAAGAAGAAGCCAGAGAAGAATAGAGGTGAGCTCCCCTGGGTTCCTTGCTGGGGATGATGTCCCCACCCAGCAGGGTGGTCTCTGACCTGCTGTACACCCTCTGTCCCTGTGGGCCTCTGCAGCACTCTCGTGTGGACCCTGAGGAGCTCTTCACCAAGCTTGACCGCATTGGCAAGGGCTCATTTGGGGAGGTGTACAAAGGCATCGACAACCATACTAAGGAGGTGGTGGCCATCAAGATCATCGACCTGGAGGAGGCTGAGGATGAAATTGAGGACATCCAGCAGGAGATCACAGTGCTCAGCCAGTGTGACAGTCCCTACATCACCCGCTACTTTGGCTCCTACCTGAAGGTACCTGTGGGGATAGGGAGGGGCTTACATGCTCTGTGCCTCTCATTGTCTCCTGAGGTACAGAAGGATGTGCCTGATGTCTTGTGGGTGGGTGGGGTGGTGGGGAAGAGTGGAGCAGGTGCTGCTGAGTGCCAGGGTCCCCCTCCAGAAGTGCAGGGAGGCCTGAAAGTTCAGCAGACCAGGCCCTCCAGAAAATGTCATCTTGGGGCTTACAAGAGAGGCGTAGAGTCCACAGGGTCAGCTGCTCTGCAGTGGCCATAGTGACCCAGGTGCATGCTGTGGGCCCTGCTAAGAGCCCTCTGTGGGACCCCTGCAGGCAAAACTCCGAGCCCAGCCTGGATGTGCCTCTGCCGGCGGCAGTCACTGTTGGGCCTGCTGAGGACCAGGTCTGAGAATGTGGCTACCTGGCATGCCTGGGCTGTTGGTGAAGTGGGTGACACTGCTCTGAGCTCTGGTCTGTCTACATGTGCCTGAACCAGGGGTGTCATCAGAGGGAGGGGGTGGGTCTGGCAAGGCCACTAGAACCCTTCTGGTTTGGCATTCCTGCCAGGGACTGGTCTGGTAGAGCCCTTTGTGACCCAAGCCCTAGCTGACTCCTGGTTAGGGGTGGTACTGGCCTATGGACCCTGCACTTAGGCACGCCCTTCCACTTACTGCCAGGCACTTAAACAGGTTCTCTCTGCCTAGGGCACCAAGCTGTGGATCATCATGGAGTACCTGGGCGGGGGCTCTGCACTGGATCTGGTGAGTGCAGCTACACAAGGCAATGTCCTGGGACCCACTGACCTGCAGACCTTGAATCAGGGGCTTCTGGGGGCCTCCTCTTTGGTGTCTTAATCCATTAGATGTTAGGA